TATGGCGTAGTGTTTAATGACAGTTTTACCTTTACCTGCAGTATATCATAGCACTTCAGGGCATGTTATATCATCCAAATTAATTTTTCCTGTTCATTTTCCTACAAATGACAGTCGAAACATCGAAGATTAGGTGAGGCAAACGGTGAGTAAACCTGATTGATTTTGACCACGTCTGCTGTTCATTTAGGAACAGTGAGCCACAGTATGCAAAAGGCAACGGTAATAGTCATAAGATAATTACGTCGATGTTTTCACTTTGCACAGTACACGCGAGCAGACCTTGGTAATTTCGTCACCTTCTCTTCGTTAGAGGTTAGTATATTTTTTGTTCTCCTTGGCATTACAGCCCCAGTTGGCCTAGGCCTACCTCCATGACCTTCTCCGTTCACTTCGGTAGAGGTTAGTATCTAGCGGCCTATAATCCCCTTTACACTGCAGACCACATTTCTTTTCGATCCACCGACCTACAATCGTTTTCTGTGAGCCAATCCTTTTCCCACTCAATTCCAACTTCTCGTCTTTTCTTGCTGAACCTTTGCTCAGGGGACCAGATTACGCGGGTCGCTGCTCTATAACCACGTTATGCCTGCATGGTAGAGAAACAAAAGGCACGTCTGATGCTTTTATGGGAAGAGCTTTTTGAGCTTTCCTTGGCACATGTTTGAAGAGAGTGAATTGCTTTATGGTGCGGTAGGAAAGCCGAGACAGCGAAGTTGAACCCGGGCTTAAGTAATCCGTTTGTAGCTATCGATATACGATATCAGTCCTCTTTTAAATTTCATAGACGTGGAGATTAAGACATTCTGGGAAGACCTAATCGCCCACTTTCCTTTCATACGGTACGGACAGCACAAGGGAATAGACGGGAGCAGTAGGAAAGAAAGAGAGAGAATGTGTGTGGGAGAAGGCCAGTTAGTGAGAGGGTGTGACCAATTGTAGTCAGATCCCTTCTCTCGTCGAAGAGGAGGCCCAATTTCAAAACATATAAAAGTCTTCGAAAGAAAAATATAGTCATGGGTTCTGACGGAACCCGAAAGCAAGATTGACTGTACAGAACTATAAGGTTTATTTTGGACTCTATCCATCGTCTGGTATACATATATAAAACAAAGAACCACCACGTTTCGGAGACTGGATTTGTCTCCGTCCTCAGGTGGATTGGGCAAGATAGACCTACTCAGTTGCACCCGTTAGAGAGACCTAGTCTCAATCACTGGATTAGCTCTCTCTAACGGGCCCAACTGAGTAGGTCTATCTTGCCCAATGCACCTGAGGACGGAGACAGATCCAGTCTCCGAAACGTTGTGGTTTTTTGTTTTATATATACCAGATGATGGATAGAGTCCAAAATAAACCTTATAGTTCTGTAGAGCATACACCATCGTCAGAATCCCTTAAAGTCTATTAAGATTGACTGTGCTAGCGAGGACCAGCATCAGTTTACCCGACCGGCACAGACAGACACACAGACATCAACGTTTTCTCGAAATAAGGGAAGTAGACCAAAAGCCTTATCCGGGTTCACAGAATTGTAAAATAAACTTGGAAACTAATGGAACGTTAACATGAACTTGCGTTTTCGACTGTAGATAGTTTCCTTGTTGTTATAATCAATAGTTTTCCATTGCACCTCTTCGGTTGGATACTGAAAATTATTATCCTGAAAAAAAAAAAAACTTCCTTGTTTTATACAAGACCTGGCAATAAATTTCGCGAACTCGGCATGGCAGCAGTGGATAGGAACCTCGGTATGGTTTGATAACGTTGGCATATCAGCATTTCACAGCTGTGTTGTTGTTGATCTGTGGCAGTCTGTATTTTTGTCTGAGCGTGTTTTGCTGTGCCGTCGCGAGAGTGTCGGAGCTTGAATTAGAGCAGTCTGTGAGGGAGTTTTTTGCTAGTAAACAAATAACTGTGCTGGAACACCCTCCCTATTCACCGGATCTAGCCCCCAGTGACTTTCTGCTGTTCCCGAAGATAAAGGAAATATTGAAAGGAAGGCATTTTGACGACATTGATGTCATCAGGAGTAATATGACAGAAGTCCTGAAGGCCATTCCACAAATCCAGTTCCAAAATTGTTTCGAAGGGTGGACTAGGCACTGGCATCAGTGCATAGCTTCCTAAGGGGTGTTTTAAAGGGGACCACAGAGATATTCATCACTGAAGTAAGTAGCACTTTTACCTCGATTAGTTCGCGAACTTTATCATCAGACCACGTATCTTGACATCTTCATTTCGGTTCTACCGTTATAATTTTTCTTTTCATGACTACTGAATAACCTGAGTATTGAATGTTTTAGAGAACCATTTATACCCTAGCCAGTAACACAGACGTTCCCGTGAACATTATTATGAGCCTAGTAAGGAAGCACCCAGGACTAAGAACAAGAATATTTTTGAGTAAGACATATAACACTAACATGTGCACTTATTACACTAAACGTACTTTCTTTGTAGGTGTCTTAGTGAAAATTTGTTGATTTAGTACAACTACTTGCAGTTTAAAAGACATTTGTCCGGAATAGCGGAATTAATTTTGGAAATCAACTTGAAGTTATTTTTCGTACATATGCATGTTGAAATTCCGGCCTTCATCTACACTTCCTGTTAACAGCAGTGACTGTGAAATATTCTGTATTCTTTTGTGCATGTGTATGCCCAAATTTCGGTCCTCAGCTACAATTCTTGTTAACAGCAGAGACTGTGAACTATTCTGTATTCTTTCGTGCATGTGTATGCCCAAATTTCGGTCCTCAGCTACAATTCTTGTTAACAGCAGAGACTGTGAACTATTCTGTATTCTTTCGTGCATGTGTATGCCCAAATTCCGGTCTTCAGCTACAGTTCTGTTAACAGCAGAGACTGTGAAGTGTTGTGTGTTGTTTTGTGCATGCGTATGTCCAAATTCCGGCCCTCAGCTACAATTCTTGTTAACAGCAGAGACTGTGAACTATTCTGTATTCTTTCGTGCATGTGTATGCCCAAATTCCGGTCTTCAGCTACAGTTCTGTTAACAGCAGAGACTGTGAAGTGTTGTGTGTTGTTTTGTGCATGCGTATGTCCAAATTCCGGCCCTCTGCTACAATTCATGTTAACAGCAGAGACTGTGAGGTATTCCTTGATATTTCTTCTATATGTATGTCCAAATCCCGGCCTTCAGCTATAATTCTTGTTTACAGTAGAGACTGTGAAGTGTTCTGTGATATGTCGGGATGTAGNTTTCCAGTAATACCGAAACATAAGACTTTTGAAATTTAAATTACCGAGAATTAATTAGAAATAAATTTCATGGTCATCTATAATCATCAAAATAAATAAGGGCTCAGAATGATCAGCGTCAAGCTAAATTCTTTTTACAGTAGAGACTGTGAAGTGTTCTGTGATATGTCGGCATGTACTCCGGTGAAAGCCTGTAGACGTTTTAATGGAACACATTGCCTCGTTTTCATGAACGAAGAGTAATCAAGCAAAAAAAAAAAATGAAGCGAGTAGAGCTATGATTTTACCAGACTACATGGCACTCTAGCCCAGAAGTCAGCATTCACCACAACTGTAACTATATAAGAAATTCTGTGGTGATGGGGCAGAAATATTTTGTAGCAGGCTGTAAAATCGTAGGCCCCTATTTGAAAAACGCAATTAGTTACTTCACTTCAGCATTGATTGGGTTTTCATTTCTTGTTGTCAAACTTCGCCCACTTCATATACGGGGATTTCCAGATTCTAATCTCGGCCCACAGAATGGCCATCCCGACTGAGGTTTGTCCTGGTTTTACTCAGTCTTTCGAAGCAAGTGCTGGGATAGCATCATGAAGTAGGCCAAAACAGTCTCTTTTGACACCTTTTACTATTCGTTAATAATCCCATCTTTTGAAGGTATGGAACCTAAAGAGTTTTGAAGTGGCCGGGGCTTGAAGCTGACCGCTTACCTCCAGCTAGTGCAGAGGTCAAGAAAATGTGGATCTATACAGCCACTCCTCCATATGCCTTCATGGCGTAGAGCTTAATTAGTTAAACACATGGACAACTTTATCTTTATGAACAACTCTTTGTTGGCCAGGATGCTGTCTTATAATAACTTGCTAGAAGACTTCTGCTCCTTTGCAATTAATGGCAGAACCACTGGTACAGAGTTATGCTTGGAGCAGAACCAGAAACCCATCTTAGACAATGTGTTATTTGATACAGGTATCCTGTATCCTGTCAAATAATAATTCCTTCTGTGAAACTTAAAAAGAAGTAAGACTTAAATTTAAGCAAGCTTACATCCTTAAAATTTGTAAAAGTCTGTAGAACTACCCACCTTTGGTATTTAATTTCTGAACTTGCTTCAGCGTTGCCCTGCACTTTAACCCTTTTTCTCGCATCTCAGTAAATCCACAATTTGTAATTTTTCAAGTTATCTGACAGTTTCACAAAAACCTCAAACCATACGGTACAGTAGTGTCTGACACTGACAGTATGGAAGAACAAAGTGTAAAGTGAAAAGGATTTCAAAGGAAGTGAACATGGCCTAATCAAGACACTAGCCCAGCATTCCTGAAGAAACTGAAGAAAGCCATGAAAGACCTCTATCAGGTTAGCCAATGTTCTAGCAGAAAGTTGAGGTGATCACTACTATAACAACCTGTTCAATTGTGCTCTTAAAGATGGTGGTGGTGATGATGGTGATAGCAACTATAACAACTGCACCAGTAATATCAATAATACACAATAACAGCACCAATCACATGGATGACTGATGATAATCAGAATTATGCTAAATCTGGATTCTAAGAAATGTCAAAACTGAAGGCCGAAGTTTAATTTAAAAACTCATTCAGGCATGTGTAACTTGCAAAATATTGTGGATATTCTCTCATGTTTTCATGAGTTTTGAAAATGTAACTAGACAATTTGTCTGAAAACTTGAGAGGGTACTTTAGCTAGGATCAACTTAGAAAATGTTCTTCTTTTACTAGCACTTTAATTGCATTTTGTTTCATTTCTTTCAGATGAGGCGCTTACATGTAATGTATGTGATCGCTCATTTGGCAGCCCTCGACAACTAGCACACCATCAACAGAAGAAACGGCATTTTGGGTAAACCATCTTTATAATTTTAGATAATAAAATATTAAAAGAGCATTACTAAAGTACTGCATTCATAGTCATTATATTGTATTGTAATAAATATCCCTATTTATCTTGGAATCAGCCAAGACTACACAAATAATCAACTGGATTTTACCTCTCAGGCAGAGAAATATTATTCCTCACCAAAATCATCACATAACAGATAACCATCAAAAGCTTGTGTAATTTCTCATACTTTATATGTGATTTCAAACAAAAATGTTCTTTTAGTTTCTTTAGTTCATTATATTTGATCTTAACTTTACTGTGTTAATTTGATTCTCATAATGTGTGGCTTTATATTTTGTTGTGCTTGTAATTAATGGACTGGACGACCAAGGTGTCAGCGTTCGGGTTGAGAAAATAATAAATAAGAATTATATAAAAATCTCCTCTTCTAAAAGACATTTAATTGAAGAGTACAGTCTTCTGGGTTGCAATACCATGTAGTTTCGAGACAGTGTTGTGTTTCAGAGGAACATACTTGCTTCCATCTTCAGGGTTGAAAAGTAACCCAGAAAATAAGGTAGCAGAACATCTACTTTTTTGTCTTCATTTCATACTGTCTAGTTTACCTTAAAACGATTGTCTCAGTCATATCTTGACCAACTGTAACAGTCGATGGTTGAGTGATCTGGCCCTCAAATGACAGAAAATAAAACCCCTAACTTTCACCCATAGATATCCTTTTGACACTGCTCCCATACACTCCCTTGTGTTAATATACAGCTGTGCATTATTCTGAATGATCTCGAAAGTGATGTATAGGTGTAAGTTTCTAAGCAAGGCCGCGCCATAACTCAAGTGGTTAGTCACTGGCTTCCCACTGCAGCACCCCAGGTTCGATCCCGGGTCTGGCCAAGTGGGATTTGTGGTGGACAAAGTGGTGCTGGGGCAGGTTTTCTCCGAGTACTTCGGTTTCCCCTGCCAATCTTCATTCCACCAATTGCTCCACAATCACCCTCACCTATCATCTGGGGCTGGTACAACAGGCCAGAAGTGGCTGCAGTACAAGGGACTTAGTCCCACCCCACTAGCAATAAAAAAAAAGTTTCTAAGTATGCAACTTCCATCTCTAGGCACAATTTCCGAAGCTGACCTCTCCAATGAGCCATTTTCATGTGTTAAATTAAGACTTCAGTTAATATGCACACAATCAAAACTTCAGAGACGGAAATTGTTTCTGGCAAATGTTGAGACTGCAATCCTGACTAAAGCACAAATAGCCCTACCTGCCCTCTGGTAGTTTTATCCACAACTGTTAACAACAAAAGCCTTCTAAATAAGAGCAGAATAAAAATAGAATTGCAAATCTTAGGAAACTCACAGACAGGACTATATTTGCAATACAATGGCAATGCAATAATGACACATGCCTCACACACTGGAGGCAACCTCAGCGTAAAAATTATAAGTTTTCTCAAATATTAGATGAAGAGGGACATGATAGTTTTGTGGTCGATGAGGAGAAGACTGAAGGGAACGTCATGAAAAGGAAATATTAAGTGCAGCCACTCTTCAACAATTTGGCAGTTTTGTTGTGTTAGGGGAATTGGACCAGGATAATGAAAGATTCAGGTCACTCTACATAATGATACAAGAAATTTTTAAATTATTAGTAGACTTTGTGGGAAATAAAATACAGAAACAGAACACTGAATTGAGACAAGCAGTGAGCATTGAAGGAAGGGTTTTGGTTATGTTAAGGAATGGTTTATTTTAGTAAAATTAAATAATATAAAAAATTAATGGGAATATTTCAGGTTAAGCTAGGCCCTACATTTGTCTGGACAATACAAAGCTCATTCTCAATGCTGAGTACTTGAAGATCAGGGGCTGTTAATGCATAGTTTCTCTCTGAACTGTGTCTGCAAAGAGGCATTGTGGTATGGAAATACTGAAATCTGAAGCACTGTTTTCGCACTGTATTCCATGGTGGAGTTTTGTGACTATGGCAAAGAAAATGGCTTTTTCCATCAATCACTGATAAATTTTAAAGCTTCAATCTTGAATTTCTACTTCTGCTGGCGAGTCATATTTAGAAGTCCTGCAACAGACTCTGGAGAAATTTAATTTCAGCAGTCTTTTCAGATTCCTCTTCTAAATAAACAGTTTCATTTTCATTACTCTTCCCTTTGGTGGAGATTTTTCCATTTCTATACTCTTGGAGGTATAAGATTTCCTTCCTCTTACCTTCCGGTTTTTATGTATTGAATGAGGAATTGCTCTGCCTTAACTACATAATATGATTTCCCTGCAGGTGGCGCTGAACTGCTTTACAGTATTTTGGTGGTGGGGGGAATTTTCCTACCTGTTCAGTTCTGTAATTATAGAATTCCTGCATGAAAGAGTTTATTATTGTTTATGGCAGGAATTGTATGTTTGCCATGAAGAAGAGAGTAGGTAGGTTTGGGTACCATCTGCAGACATTCCAATATTAATGCTATTTCAAATTCTAATTCCTTTTATTAGTTCCACTGCTATTACTTCAGATGTAGGGAGCTTTCCTGGAAACAGCCATGTTCCTCGTGTTGTTCTGAAAACAGAGACATGACCTTGTAAACAGACATAATGTGAAGCAAATGGTGAGAGGTCTAGAGCTTAAGTTTAAAATGACAATAAATTTTGAACTACTGTCACATAGGGTGAATCTATCAAATCAGGAAATAGACTGCAGGCAGTTATACTTTTAGTGCTCAAGAAATGAAATGAACATAACAGAATGTGATTTAAAAGAATATGTTGCAAAGAAATGCAAGACTAATTTTGCCTGTGGTTCTGTATGGGTGTGAAATTTGGTCTCTGATATTAAGGGAGGAACATAGACTGAGGGTGTTGAGAACAGAGTGCTGAGGAGAATATTTGGCCCAAAGAAGGATGAAGTGCAGGAGAATGGCGGAAACTGTATACCCTTCACCAATATTGATATGGATATTAGAGAGACAGGATGGGATGGTATGGACTGGATCTGCCTAAGGACCACTTAAGGACTCTTGTGAACACAGTAATGAATCTTTGGGTTCCATAAAATGTTGGAACATTCTTGAGTACCTGTGCAACTGTCGGCTTCTCAAGAAGGGCTTATCTTCAAGAAGTTAGTATTTTAGTTTGTTTATTATGAAGAAAATAAGGGTTTCCTTTTTATAAATAAGAAATTTTACAATGCAGAAGGAATAACTGAAGATTGACCTTATTCCCCAATGGTTAAGGTTGGTGAACAAAGGTTCATTGTTAGAGCCTGGCCATAAAACCTAAATGAGGGTAACACAACAGGGACCATAATGTAGAGGGGTAGCAGATTGTCAAAACTTTTTGAATGGGGAAGGAGGAATAGAGTTTCAGCCCCTAGACTCAAACTGTGAGCCTCAGGACCAATAGGAAAACTGGTTACATCTTCCAAAACTGGTATAGGGACAAATATGGTGGGGTGAATGCTCTGCCTTGTGTATAATGTTTGTTCAATGTTCAATTTATTTACCTTCCGTAAATCCAGATACAGGTAGACACCATAGGATATGGAACAAGTTAAATACAATATAAATACAATGACATCCATACAATAACAGTCTAATTGAAAAATTAACAAGATTACAAATGGCATAAATATGAGTTAATTATACTTACACAACACAATTTGAGCCTGTTAACAGAAACAATGTCGATCAGTATATTGCTAATAAGTATAAGATTATGAATTATGTAGAGTCGTGCANTTGTTACACTCGACGGACTTTCTATTAACTTTTAGAAGAGTTGTTAACATATTTGTGGGAGCTGTGGGTAGTTGGTGGTAAATGTGGAGAGGATTAATGAGACAATAAGACAGCCAGACTAAGGAGGTTTTAACTTATGTATGAACAGCAATTTTAAAGTGTGAATTTGTAATTGTAGAGAAGTGTAATAATCGAGGTTTAAAAACAGTGCTTTGAATATTAGATGGGTCAACATGAATTTCAATCTTTCTTTAATTAATAATTTAACGTACACAACTCCCCAAGATTTGTTCCCTACCCAGTCATTGAAACAACTAGAATTTCCTGAGATAGGAACCCATGACTACTGACTAACCGACGCATCTTTTGCACCTCCTACTTATGAACACCAGAACCACCAGAGGCTGCTACCAAGAAAATCCTGGAGGCTGGAAGTGTGCTGAAGTCAGTGTGACAGTTGCAGATCTCATATTTTTCCATCATCTTTGCATGACTGAGCTGTGACACACAGAAAAATAAATATTAAACATATCTGTCATAACATTAAATATATCGTGTGTTAGCGGTTTTTATATCTGCATACTTCAAACTTGATATAATGCACTAAAGTTCAGAGAGTTTCTGCATTCTTTCATCTCAAATGTTCTTTTGCAACAAGCTGCTTAAAGCAGAGAATTTCTGCTTTCTTTCACCTCAAATGTTCTTTTGCAACAAGCTGCTTAAAGCAGGCCCAAATATTATTATCTAGTACCTGGCAAATGAAGTTACTTTCCTGATAATATGATTTCATTTTATGATAAGTAATAACACAATTATTGAAGCTATGTCAGAAATATGATCAGGTATTTGGACATTGCTACAGCAGATTTTCATGCTTTCACCTACTACACAGAAATGGTCAAAAGTCTCTGAATGGTATGCCAAATTGTGCTGGATCAATAGATGGCAAACATTCCAGATCAGAAAATCCTAAGCACAAAATTTTCTTCCCTCCTTTACTTACAGTTGGTTCAGATGCTGACATATTATACAACTATTGATATTGAGGGTATTGGCTAAAATAATAATGAAGCTACTTTTCAAGTATCAATACTTGACATTAGATGAAAATGGAAGGAATGGAATTACTACCTCTGGCCCCTTTGTCATCAGATGCCAGTAGTAAACCACTTCCTCATTACTTTATTGAGGTTGAAGCATTCCTGCTTAAAAAAGTAAGTGATGATATTGTATCCATAAACAACTCTGATAGACATAAATTTATTTTCAACTACATAAGTTCTTAAAGCCAGAAGTGTGCGAAGTATGTCTTCATATGTTTAATTCTTAAGTTTTACATTCTTGAGGAACCTACGCATTTACAATGAAAGAACAGTACAATCGGTGATCCGAGCTACATGCTGTTATATTGTGAAAGAAGTTTCTCTGTAAGAAAAGATTATCATTGGCCACACCAGCAAATTTTACTAGCTTTCATTTTGTAAGAACGTTCTGTGTGATTTTCTCTGCTCAGCCAAAGGATCTATTTCAACACCAGTGGAAGTACACACGTGAACAGCGACAGCGATCTTAAATCATCTAGAAAATTATAATAGACATATCTAGTTGCTCTTTCAGTGAAAGTAATTTAAAGTGTTAAGGGAAATTACACAATTCAATCAAACCTTTCCCACTCTTTTCCTATATTAAGTCAATTTTGTCTTTCCTTGAATAGCCAAGATCTTTCCACTTGTAAAGTAATGCCCCCCCCCACAAGCTTCACAGGTCTGATATTTGCTTCCTCTTCTCATGCATCAGCAAACCGTGTGAAACTTGATGGAATATTTATCTTCAGTGGTGATATGTTTTTGACTTGAAAAAACTGGGTCATCACCTTATCATATTGGCCCACTGTCAGCATATCATCATCATCATCATCATCATCATCATCATCATCATCATCATCATCATCATCATATTGGCTTCAGTGTGTGTGATTCTGTTTAGAGACAGTGAGTTGAAATTTTAATATCATCTCACAACCACTTTATCATGAGCAGGGAATTTCTATGTAAGTATGTGTAGTACTGGGATGTCTATACCTTGTAACCGACACAAAGCAACATTTCTGGCCACACAGTAGCACATTTAGATCATCAAAAACATAGAGAGGATTTTAGTTTGGGAGTAACTACTAACTGTTTTGAATTTTCACAAATCACCTGTGATAGATGACACTAATACACTTCTGAAAAATTGCCATGGTATTTTTATTAAAACATAAAGTTACATCACTGAGGTAAATATGTCTAAAACCATGTTCTCAGATGTTCAGCATGTGACAGCCTGTTTCCCTCACTAATGGCTCTTGAGCATCACAAAGAAGAATTCGAACATTGGTCTGGTGACGAGAGTATTGGCAACACAGAATCTGGTGATGAGACAAGTGATGATACAGTGACGAGTGAAGAGCTGGAAAGGCTTCTATAACTTAAGTATGTGTGTTAGCTACTTCAATGCTGTAGATACTTTCTTAATTTTTTTATTTATTTTCCCTTCGGTGTGACCTTTTCAGTTTGAGTGGTAATGAGATTATCTTCCTGTGAAGGCCTGGACATAATGTATGACTGGGTGTGTTAAATATGCAGGCTGCTAGGTAATTAGTATTCATATGACCCATGAGATTGAAAGAAGATAGCTTTTGTCCCTTACCTATCTGATTAGTATCATCAAAATGCTATGGTGAAAGGCGTATTTTAAAATCAATCCTTTGTGCTATAAATAAGTTCCATACATGCACTGAGGGCAGCAGATGCCAAACTTGTTAACAAAATCACAGATGTATGTTACAGATTCAGTAGAAACTTAGGAATACAGTGGACACAGCTTATTGTGATCGCTTCAGGACCCAGCTCAACTCATTACAATAGCCAATGAAAGAAGACTGCAGCTGTTCATCTTCATTTATTGATGCAAAGGAGAAATGTGTATGTAAATAATGTAGAAATGAACATGAAAGAAAACTTTAAAATTGAACAATATGAAACACTCTAAGTTGACTGTCCATTTTTTCTTTGAGAAAGTCATCAGTAAAAATGAAACAATGTATCCAGAAATCCATACATAACCATTATTACAGCCAAATAAAGAAAATGTTACAATCAAGAATTTGAATTTTTTAATTTTCATTGCCTTTTATGGGAAGGACATTCATTAAAAGTTCATATTCACATCAGAGCTCAAGAGCAAACTGGGTTGTTATGTAATCATGTGCACTTAGCATGTGTCAAGGCTGTGATAAGGCAAAAAATAGACAACATAAACCAAAGTGAAATATTACAATAAGTATAATTTTTTCTGTGTACTGATATACATCTGATTAGGACTTCATAGAAGTGATCACATTGTATGAATGATGACATTATCCGCGATTACAATAGGCAGTCCATTGTACCTCTAGTTTTACTGCTGAACGGTATTTTTGAAGTTTTGCACATGGCCAAAATGTAAGAATTTAAATTCTAAAATTTATTCAGAGCGTAAATTCAATAAGATTAAAATTTCTAACCCACACTTATTGTTCTAAAAGTGCTTTTCAGCACCCAAGAGTGTAACTTAAGAAATTTGCAATTGGCCCACTTAAAAATATCAGGGCACAGCAAGACCACTCAATGAAAATATATAAAACACAATCATGCGTGAATGTTCTCCACCAGTTTCACTGAAAGAGCAATGCGTTCCAGGCTGTCAAACACTAGAATTCAAGCATGAAGATTAACAAATTAGACATACAGCCAGACAGGAAAAATCAGGATATTTTAAAACTAAACTTTTACCAAAAATATGTTCAACAAAGGATCAATTAAGAAGAACTGCATATTGAATGTGTAGTTCAATATTTTTTGCTGTCTGAGCTTGTATTTAAGTACTTCAGAGCCTGAAGAAGATACTTGCATGTTGAAACATGCTGCCACTTTTGTGAAAACTGGTGAAGAGTGAAAATGGCATGACCATGCATTTCTGTTCATTCAATGTTCATATTGCACAACATAATACATCACAATAAAACAAAATCAGTGAACTATAACATCACTTTCTTTTCTTATTTCAGCAACCAAAATTTGATCTGTAGTTGGAATAAGTAACCTACATCAACTGCAGAGTATAGACATATTATAAATTAAATATATTTTTATATCTATGCAAGAAGGATGTTTACTTTTAAAATAAAGTAACCTTCAACATATTTATACCCCAAGAATTAGAGCTGTAAAAGTTCAGAGATTAAGCCACCAATGGAAATGAAGAGAGAACTAAAGGGTAAATTTCTAGTTATCTTTGATTTTAAACTTTCATATTCCAATGTCAGCAAAACAGAATTCCTTTAACCAGAACTTTTTCTAAGAACTGCGACAATGTAATATTCTGTAAATAGACATTTTTATTTATTTCATTCTATTTGTTGTAACCATGTGACATCTACACAATACATACACAGGTGGCCCTGTCAAATACACAACAGTGACCCCCTGTTCTTATATAATTTAACAGAAGTGCAAAAACTGACATACACATTATCTGTTACTTATATACACAACTGAAGGTTACTGTCTTCTATAATGTGATAAATCAGAGTGTAAGATGTAAGCAGCAGGTTCTCCCAGAACATCAGTAAATATCCAGAAGATTATAGCACATCACACCCAAGCAGACACTAATCCTTATAGTTACCTTCATGATAAACTCAAATCTCACAACGCTAGGGCTACTGTATCATATAAATGTTTCTGGTCTAACAGTAAATTGAATTTATACCCTTGCTCTCACCTAAGTGTCCTGATCCTCATTAATATGAATGACTCAAAACAAATGACTGAAAAATAATGTATGTTTTCTGTACTTAAAAAGTGATCTCTTTAGTCTGAAAGACTTAAGGCTGGTGCTGTAAGAAAAGGAGCACAATTCAAATGCTAATCAGGAGTAACTGGAACTTACAGGCACCATCCAGAGAAGAATGCATATATATATAATAAACATAATATGTACTCAGTGCACTGAAGTAATTTACCAACTGGCACAAGTTTTTTTTTTTTCCATACTTGACCTCTTCAGAAGCAAACATTTTAACAAGAAGTTGTGGTAAGAACTAGTCACCTACTTTCCTGTGAAATGACATGGACCATACAGAAAACATCTCCAGCAATTCTTTGTTCTCACTGGAATGTGTTTACCGAGTCACTGCCTAGCACCTATAAGGGGTATACACATACATACACACAGACTGATGTGGGCTTAGGTTCCATGATACACATACCAAGTTTCAGAAAAATTGGTTCAGGCATTCAAAAAGTGATTGTTCCCATATTTCCCTCTAATCTGTTTAAACTCTGAATTGTCATCCAGTCTGTGGAACATGGTTGGAGAAATCTGTATAATTCTGCACACTTTTTGTTTCCAACAAAATATTAGGTTCATAATTTTCAGGTGATACTGAAAAGGGTCTACAGATACTCAAACACAACTTCCATATTCCTGTAATCATGTACTAAATTGTGTCTGAGAATCAGTGCTGGGAAACAGTGGAAAATATGACAGGTCTCCTCTATTTTTGCTGTAAAATAGTTGTATTTTAGCTCAAACAATAGAAGAGAAGAAAACTTGTATGAAGTTTCTTGCAGAGGCACTTCAAGAAACATGTTATATCATCAAAGGCAGATTGAATCCAACCATTCTTCATTTTCTGACTCCAGATATTTTCCATTTTACTTTTAAAAATAGTTTAATTCTTTACCTAATTTCTAAAAACACTGCAAGATACTCTTGACAGTTTGCCCTCTCCTTTCTCATAAGCACCATCTCATACAGCATCAGTTGAAACAATGGCAGATATGGGATAATTAAACTTTATTACTTGATTCCTGATGTATAATATAGTAACAATGTCTATCATATCATTTATGAAATTCCCTTCTCAGGAGACTTCCTGCTCAATAATTCTTTCATAACATACACAGACTATTGTCCATATAAACACCAGCTACATATCCTACAGAATAGTGATGATTTCTATGCCGACTTCTTCACCCACTAGTTTTTACATTTAGAGATCACACACCTGTCAGCTTTCAAATGTCTTGAGAGTATTATTTTACTCCCTGAAAAAACAATAACAATTTGGTTCTTTCCATTAACATCACGAATCACATGCAAAATAATGGAGTAAAACCAAAACTGCTCACAGACTTTTCTCAATTGGCCTGATAAGTTTACTGAATCATCACTAATTCTGCATTGAACTATAATCCTTGATAAACATACGTATGTCCTCAGATAGAGATATTCATTTAGGACCCATCTCTTAATGAACCATTAATAAACACTTTTCATAAGATCACCATCTGTAAATAAGTACCTTGTAGGCCTACATGTATTCCCCTGCCTAATACAGAAACTTTCTCTCACAGAGGCCCCATTCTGCAATATTTGCATTCTTGGATTAGATACGAGCAGACGGGATACTTTCAGAGATCTAAATCTGGTTATGTCATTTTAAGTTACCCAGTGTTGTTGTTGCATTGTCATTACCACTGTCATTAATAACGTTTGCTGCGCGTGGACGTAATTCCGTTCCAGCCATTTTCACTCGTTGAGACTAACCTTATTTCCTCTGGTGACGTTAATACTGCTTTGATGACTTGATGGGTGGGGTTCTGGTAGGCAATGAAATTCCTTCTCGGGGTCGTTATACGGGCCTTGGGTCATGAGGAGACAAAGGGTAATAATGTTACGCCGACACACATTACATTTACTCACTGTTTAATATTATCATATGTTGAAACACGTCTGTCCGTAGGAACGACCGAATGAGAACTCTCCTAGAAGCTTGGACTATATAGTTGAGTTTTGTGACATAAATTCCCCCACCCTCGCAGATATATTCCATCATTGCTTCTGATTCGATCATTCAAAAGGAAGGCGGTATTACAAGTTTAAACCCTCCAATACCCTTCTTAAAAATTACACCTTTGAAACCGCTGGTCCAGCGATATTCTCAACGATTCTTGAGACCTCGCTAGACTGCAGCTGCAAAGTGTAACATTACAGACGCTATGCGGCATCTTTTACTCATAAGATATATATATTTGCTTCACGTAACAGCGACACTATGGCACCACTATTACGTGCCACAGGGATATAAGTGTCAGTTGTTTATAAGCTGCTTACTCCAAGTCTTGCTCTTAATATTTCAATTTAAGCACTAAATTAAATTGGACGACTTCACTGTGTTGTCCACATGCTAGTCTTTTTCACCAGTTGTCAGTCAGTGGTTCTGCTGTTGTTCGCACACAATTTATATCTGCCAGTTTGCAGTTAGTCACTGGGTCTTCTATCATTCACATGCTGGTCTTGGACACCAGTTCCCAGTCATTCAACAAATCTATTCTATGCATACTAGTCTTTTTCACTGACTCCAGTATTGGTTGGTGTAGTTGACATTAGGATTTTAAATTAGGCAAGAATCTACTATTTAATTTATATTACTAAGAAATGACTGACAAAATTTAATCATATGACTAACTGTAAAGTTTATATATAGCACAGCCTAATGGTTTCTATATGCATGACCTGGTTTAACATACTAGAATTCTGCATTCTGCCCACACAGTGTGTTTGTGGGTTTCATATGGTTCTCACAATAA